CTTCAGTCCCTGACTTAATCCGTGCGGTTTATGCCAAGGACTAACAGTGTGTAGCTTTGCTACGGGCTCTTGGGAGATATGAGTTTAAAGACTCGGACATAACATTGTCGGCACATTTACGTGCGAGGATACATCGATATTTCATCGATAATGGCCTGTTGTGATATCGCGCAGATATTGAGGATACCCCTCGTATCGCTGTTCCTCATGAAGAGAAGTTGAGGTATCGAATCCTCTACGAGGCACATGATACTGCTTTAAGTGGTCATCTCGGTCGTGAGAAGACCTATGGCTCAGCGACCCAGGATTATTGGTGGCCCAAGATATAATAATGGGTGAGCACCTGTATGCGTACGTGCGAAAAGTTTAAAAGAGTCAAACCCTCAGCACAAGCGGCGGCGCCGCTGGCTAGTCTACCTGTACCCACTGGGTGTTGGGAATGCATGATTATGGACATTGTGTTCGGCCTACCGAAAGATTTGGAAGGAAACACTGGTTTTGTGGTCTTTGTTGACCGTTTGAGCAAGATGGCTCATTTAGCGGCTTTGCCGGATACGATCGATGCTGAAGGCAAGCAAAGCTGTTTACCGGTCGTGTGTTTCGAAAACATGGTTCGACTGCGGCAATTACATCTGATGGAGATCCCCGCTTCACTGGGAAGTTTTGGAAGTCTATCTTCAAGGTGCTCAGCATCCGATTGGACATGTCCACGGCGCATCATCCGCAGACCGATGGTCAAACTGAACGTGTTGATCGCGTCCTTAATGACATTTTGCGCAGTGTTTACGCTGATACGCCACGGCTTTGGAGTTCAATGTTCCCTGTTGTTTAATTTGCATTAAAAAACGCTGTTCATGCCTGCACAGGCTTTACTCCGTTTTGCGTAAACGGTCTCACCCCTCCTCGCGTTCCGTTAACGCTACCACTCTTTGGCTCAGGGCTTAGTGGGGGAGATGTTGCAGATCGGCTTGCTGATATCAATCCTGCTACTGTTATAAAAACAGGTAGGCGGGTTCCTCGCAACGCGATTGAACGTCTTACGACATGTGCGTGACGCAATGGCTGATAGCCAAGATCAACAAAAACAACAAGCTGATGCCAAAGGCAGAAATTGTATAGAAAGTTATAAGGTCGGAGAACAAGTATTACTCAATGCTTAAAACCTACCTACAAATGTAGTGTCTGCTGTCTTCAAGACAAAGGTGCATCCACGCTTCATCGGACCGTTACGGTCACTGCCAAGAAGAACCTTGCGTATACGCTCAACCTTCCACGCAAATTGCGCACACACCCTGTGTTCTTCGTAAACTTACTTAAACCGTACCAGGATCCTTCCCATGTGAGCTATGAGGTGCTGGCGCCGACGCCGATAACGGTGCCCTGGATTGCAAAAGGCGAATCAGCAAGTCCAACTGAGCCTCGCTCCGAGTTTGAGAATGCTCCATCGCCTGAAGGCGGCTCTGCATCGCATCAAGCATGCATCGGGTGTTCCATAAAGTCTCTTAAAGACCCTTCACTTCGAGAACCAATTTCTCGTGGAATGCCACCGGTACGCCTGGGCCGCCACCGACTTTGCTCGATGAGCATGGGTGTCGTCAGTTTCATGTCAAGAGACTACTGAAACGACGTCGTCGTCACGGCCACTACCAGTATCTGGTAAAGTGGCGTGGGTACCCTGAGTCTGAGAACTCATGGGAATACGAGGTACCCCCGCGGCAAGATTGCCCTCATGCTTTGGATGTTTTTGAACATCGTAACCACGGTCATCTTGAGACCGAGGCCGTTTCTCACCACTAGTGGTGTGGGTTGGCGGTTTGGTGGTTATAGTTTGACCAACACTCGCGGCTACCGTGGTATCCGAAGAATATCGTGTGGGATTACACAATTAGCCTCTGGCCTTAAGCTTGGCATAGTCATACCAAAGCTTGCGTTCGAGACTCAAATCAGCCACATTGACAGTAGCTCTTAGAGCAGACATACTGCTGAGGCGAAGTATTCGGTTCGCCCAGCGTACAAAGGCCTTGTCTTATTCTCTCTCTGTTTCGCCTGCAGACAAGAGAATGGGTATACCCTTGATCGGTGGGACCGGTGCGCCACGTGCTTGCATGTCAAGGCGTGCCTTGTATTGACCTTGGGTCGTTAGGTGAGGCTCCAGGTACCTCTCGCGAAGTGCCTGACCGCTCGCCACCTCCTCAGGAGACTTAGGCCTATGGCCAATGATCCACATTGCCAACGATTGGCCGGCAGCTTGACACAAGCGTTCCTCCACACTGGGTGAAGTGAACCCATAGTCACGTTGGTGCTCGAGGGTTGCGAGCATTTGCGCATGGCGCCGAGTGCATTCTCCTTGTTGAAAAAGTAACTCTTGCTGCTCATCGAGCGGGGTCGTAATGATGGTATCATCCGAACCGGGTGTTGAGCGCGGCGCCAATGGCGAAGTCTCATCATCACGTTCAGGTAACGGAAAAGCGGCAGTACGAGGTTGTACCTCTGACATGGATGTATCGGACATTGTCCCTGCGAGGTAAGAAGTTGTACCTCAGACATAAGTGTATCGGACATTGTCCCTGCATCACCCGGGACACTATTATCGCCACCATTGTCCACAACCTCCCCTATTTCGAGGTAATCACTGAGAGTCTTTGATTCTTTAGGTCATGAGGACATCGCGCTAAAAGCTTTGCGCTACCGTAATGAACCGCAAGTACACAGACCTCGTGGAAGAAGAAAGTTCGAATGGAACGTTCGATTGGAACAAGGTTCGATTGACGTTTTAGGAAACGTTAGTCTGGTGGGGGAGGGTGTAACAGGGTTACACATAATTGGGTACCTGGTACCCTGTGCCTCAGACACACGGATGATATCACACTGAAAGAGATTTAGAATAGCGTATCGGTTATAGGGGCTGATTGATGTCAGATACCAGATAGGAGAGATCTAAGTTGTACTAAATTAGGACATACGTGTCTGTGTGAGGATTAAGATATTCCATAGGGTTAAAGGTAGATAAAACTCAGTTTCTCTTTCGATCTTAGAGACACGTGTCTTGCGAGGCGTCTTTGGTCGTTGATTGCTGATGACTAAGAGTTAGCAACACTTCCCTGAGGTAGCTAGTGACTCTTGAGCTCTAAGTGCTGTCGAATTGTTAAATCGTTTTGTCCCCTGGAACAAGGACCATAAGCTTTACGCTTATTCACTCATTGAGTCTAGTTCTTTAGGGCTAAGTTGCTCATTGAGCGTTTAGTCTTCCTCTGACTTAAGGAGCTGTGTAGCTCCGCTAAAGTATGTATATGTAAACATATACATTGGCTCCATCAGAGAGAAATCTAGTTTGTTCACAAACCTGTCGAGTGGTTAAGTATCCTGTGCATATGTGGAATAGGCTGCAAAACGAAAAATGATCACCAAACTAATGTTTGCCACTATCGAGGAAATACAGGTAGAGTGTGCATCTATGCACTAGGTCATGAATATGAACGTACCTAGAGCGTCACGTGCACGAGCGTACACCTTCGCTTTAAAATTGTAAAATTGTCACCAGCTGGACTGACTCGAAACCTTTTCACCTATTCTCTGCTTGTTCTACAAGCGCTTTAGGGAGTTTCCGCATGCCACGCAGCGCTTTAGGGAGTTTCCGCATGCCACGCAGCGCTTTAGGGAGTTTCCGCATGCCACGCAGCGCTTGACCTATTTCCAAAGACCTGAAAGAAAGGAGCCGGTATAGCCACACACGCGTGGGGTTTCAAAGTTTGTAAGTGTCGGTTGCCCCTTACAAATTTGGGATTCCCCCCATAAATATCGCTTCACTCGTTTACATGTACAGATGGAAAATGACACAATAGTTTATGTAGGTTTACTAGTTTACTGTCAACGATTTTGTGAGGACATAGTCGGCTCCCTCTACAGCATCCCTGTTTGTCCAGCCCAATTTGGACCTCTTAAAAGGAGGATGTTATATCAGGGGATGCAATGCAGTCAGCTTCCCCCATAATATCTCTTTTTGTTTTTACCCATCAATCAATTTCATCCCATATTCCTCAGTGTGTCAAGCTGCGCTTCAACAGGGCTACATCCGAGGAGAAATTTGCTCATTCACGTTTCTACGTCGTAGAAGTGTTGCCCAGCCAAACGAAAGTTGATCAGACCGCCTCATCGTCGTCCTTAAGATCAACTAAAAAGGTACGCTGTCTTTCGTTGTCCAAAATATGCTGAAAAATTCTGCTGTTATGCCCTGATTTCTGGGAATGCTGCGAGCATCTCGCTCAACCCATGTTGGTTTGTTGTAGCGAATACTCGTTGACCACAATCGAACATCAATTCGAATCAGTTGTTGCTGAATAGTCACCAACTATGGCAGGCAGATCTTTGTACTCTTGTTTCCTTACTCTTTATTATGAGCGCAAGAACCTCGCACTATTCTGATGCTTCCGTATTTGTCGCTCTTCGTGCAAGCCTTATTTATCGAAACGCCCCACCATTGTTTGTACTGCCTCTTTCGCTTTCTACTGGGTCTTTTGCATATGTTCCGAGCGTGCAGCAAGCTTTACGATAAAAATGAGTACCTGTCCTAGCGTTATATTACGCTAACACGGGTGCGGTGATACCAGGTGTGCGTTGCAAAACCGAAGAGGGCGTGTGGCTAATAGAGCTTTCCTATTTTATAGGGGCGCCTTGCTAATCCGAAGAGAGGATGTGGCAAGTAGGACCTTCTAAATTTATAGGAGCGCATGACTTTACCGAAAAGAATGTGTGTGTGGCTGTGTACCTTCTTCCCATTTTTTAGTTTTTCTCAATCAGCTGCCGCCCAAGCCATTCAATTAATCGAAGCCAATGACACGCCGCCCAAAAAAAGGTACCGCTGATATCGCAGAGCTAAAAACGCAGGCCGACTAGCGATAAAAAAGAGAAAAGACTCTTTTTTATCGCTAGTCGGCCTGCGTTTCTCTCGAGTTCTCCCCTGATATATCCGCTGTGGTGACGCACTTTTGTGAGTAAAGCACATGACGCTTTTTTTGGGTGGACAAAAAGCACAGATCAGTCTGATCCTCCGTGAGCACGCATTATCGCCGTCCGATCTTGCACATCATTCCGTCGCATTCCTTTTGCTCTCGCTACGCAGAGACAAGAAACCACCGATGCGCCTTTCTGTCGTCCTCCTCTTTAGTGCATTCGAGCAGCTCGCCACTTCGAATGGTCAGCAGCGACTGCACCCGATTGCTTCGAACTCGTCAGAGTCGAACCGTAGCTCTTCGACTGACCCGGACGAAGCGCAGTCGGGCCAACACTTCAAGGATAGCGATTCCGGGAATGAGGTTAATAGAGAAGATGAGAGGCTTGGTTCCTGGTTTGATACCGTCCTGCACTCAGTGCAGCTGGAATGGACCAAGGGAAACCTGAAAAGATGGGTCCGCCAAGAGTAATCACCTTACCACGTGTTCGAGTGGGTTGGCCTCCACAAGCTCGAGAAGCAGCTTTTTTATACTCCGTACTTTAACATGTGGGCTGAGTACACGAAAAGTGTGGCGAAGTCTGACCCCGTGGCAGTCATGCTGGCTACGCTAAAGAGATACTACCCGGAAGATGAGCTGGTGACCATGCTTGTAGCAGCCAAGGAGTCCAATACAATAGATATGCTGTTCGCCCAGTTGTATGCCGAGTGGATCACTGCTGAAAAAACTCTGGACGAGGCGTTCACGACTTTTGGGCTACACGAAGTAACGGAACACGACTTGAAACATGGCGCGTTTACCAGATGGCTCAGCTATGCTGACGAGTACTTCAAAGCTCACGATGACAACAACAAGAGCATTGTGGAATCTGACGTCGCAGCAGAAGTTCTATCTACGCTACAGAAGAATCTTGTGGACAAAGTCCTGGTGAATCTGCTCGCGGCAGCCAAGAAGACCGACAGAGTGGATAGCATTTTCTCCAAATTGTATGCTGAGTGGGTGAATCGATACACTCCTCTCGATATATCTGGAGCTCTTGGGCTACAAACAGCATCGAGTGAGGAATTTCGTGACAGATGGATTAGCTACGTTGATGAGTACTTTAACGCTCAAGATATCGCTGGCAAAAGTGTCCCAGAATACCTCCCCGAGAATATGGTGCGTGCGCTGACGATTTACTACCCGAAAGATAAGATGCTGAGCATGCTCGCAAACGCCAAGAGGACCGACGAAGCGGACCGCATTTTCTCTAGGTTGTATACCAAGTGGATGACTGAAGGAAAAACTCCGCTCGATGTGTTCATGGCTTTTGGGCTGCATGAGGCAAAGACCGTTGACGCAAAACACGCTTCGTTTGCCAGATGGCTCGACTTCATTGATACACAGAACAAGGATCAGGGAAACGCTGGACTGATCATGCTTACGGCGGTGGCAGGACATGTCAGCTATTCCGATCTGATACAGCTGCTTGGAAAAGCAAAGACCGAGGCGGCTCAAATCGCGAGAAACATGCTACCGCGTTTCTGGAGTAAAAATGGTCCAAACGAGGCATTTAAAGAGGCTGCGCTCAAGGGAGATGGCGAATTACTGTCGAGCGCAGGGTTTCTGGCGTGGATAAAGTTTATGAGCAGTCATAACAAGGCGAACCCTTCTCAAAAAGCGAGCGTGTTTGAGACGATGGAACGCTTCTTTGGCGAGAAACAGTTGACAACGGTCTTAATCGCGGCATCGAAGAACTCTGTATCCACTGAACTATCCAAAGAACTGCTGCCTAAGCAGCTCGAGCATTGGCTTGAGAGAAAAACGTCAGCATTTGCCGGGGAAGATTATACACCCGAAACTGTTTTCACGAAGCTGCAACTCGATAAAGACAAGAACGTCATAATGAATCCGCTGTTCCGTCTATGGGTCAACTACGCCGGCGATGACAGGGGAAGAGTGCCTATACTTCCCGTACTTCTTGAGTACTACGAGACCGATGTTCTCGCAAGGATGATCCTCGAGGCGAAAAAGATTGAGGACGGAGCGCTAGCTGAACACGTAAAGTTTAGTCTTTTCAACTATTGGTTGGATAGGGCAACATCAACCGGTAAAGATCACCGCCTTTTTGCCTTTGACGCTTTAAGAATCGGCGAGAACGGATTGCCGAGCGACTTGTTGAGCGTCTACAAGGAGTTTTCGGCTTTCAGTGCGAAGACGATGAACTTAAGAATGGACGCAGCGGGGACTCCATCCGTAAAGGCGGCACAGATGGTGCATCAAGTAAGAGAGAAGAAGACGGAGGCAGCGAAGGCCAAGGAAGCGGTACCGATGAAGTCGACGGAGACCTGGTGGGGGTGCCCAGAATGGATCTCCGGTCTCTTTTCAGAGACGTAGTTGCACATGTAGCACGTAAGAAGGTTTTCACATTGTTATGTGTGACAGAGGTGTGTATTTCAAGAGAATTTTACTTGAACCTTCGTTATTCCTGCGCTTACTGTGATACCACTTTTTCCTTTCGTATGCCATTGTAACCTTTACTCATGTTAAGTAGCTAACGACACGCACATGATCACCAATGTCGCAAAATGTTCTTGTGGTAAAGCAGCAAATTACCGTTCCACGTTTCTATACGGGAGCTGATGGCTTCGCTTCCATTTTTGCCTAACCTCACGCCTTTTCCTTTCTACTATGTAAATACCCAAAACAGCCAATTTTGATCGGTCGATTCTATGTTTAAAATTAGGGAATTGTTTACACTTGCCCCTCTACTCGAGAAAACTTTGTTACCGATTTTTACAGCGTGTCTCATAAAAAGGCTCTCATAGTGAATATGCAAGAAATCAGTTGCATGATTCTGTAAGGAATGCAAAAAGAAATAGTCGGGCATTTTAGAAACGTTACAGAACATGTCCCTATGTGTACTGATATGTTACGTTTGTTTACTCTATGAAGTCTCTCATATCGTGCTGTTGCGCTCTAGTGTGCCAATTCTTATGAATACCTGATGAAATCTTATCCAGATCTGGCTGAACGATATGCATGTCTTAATATGAGCGTACGAACTACAAACAAAAAAGCAGGCACCACTTTAGTACTTCATTTGCACTGGCAGGCGCTTGATCTTCGTCACTTTCGACTTCCGCGAGCTCCGCTTCTGCTTAAATAAGAGCCTCCTGTTCTTCACGATTCTGCTCGTGGTCTTTGATCACGACATAATCCTACACCTTAACACTTACTCGTAGAAAATTGATCATATCAGCCAGATCGCAGCAGTCTTCTTGGAAGGCGAGACTGGGCGTTCGATATCATTTGTGCGCACTTATTCGCAATCTATAGAGCTTCGATCATCTCACTCTTGATCCAGAAAAATTGAATGAAATCCCCACCAAAAGTGGTTCAGCTCTCAGCTGCAAACTCAATGGCTTTCTGGAAATTAAGATGGATATCAGCAGCTTCTTCGAGAACTCAAGATGATGCTTCACACGTCATTTCTTGTCACTTTAAGGTTTGTACTTCAAAATTGATATCTTTATGGCCAAGAGCCGGTGCGCCGTTGATTTACTAATGCGGTCTTGCAACTGAATGCTTATGTACGTCTGCACTTCGTTAAAACAATATTTGAGCGTACTTTATAGTATTGAAAGACTTTGTACTTCTGCTCTAGTGAGGGATATACTCGCTGAATTGAACTTATTGTTTGCACGGGCTTCAACAAGAGGTAAGATTTCCTGGGTGGACGTGTTGGATCGATGGCGTAGTGGTGTAGTTATATAAATTAAAAATCAGTTCTCCATATCTATTGCCTTACGAAATTATTAATTTTTGTCTGTTGAATTTGTTGTCATGACTTCATCAGTAAATAGTGCGTTACAAGGCCGCCTATTATGACATGCTTTACGTCTTTCCATTAGGTCACGTCCGAGGTCCTATGACGTTGCTGAATCGGCTTAAAGCTCTCGCGAATCTTTGCCTGGAACAACTGTCACATTGTATGCCACGTATGTCTCATAAGCAGCAGAAGTAGGGGTAGTGAGTTAGATAGAGAGGTTTTCCACGAAGCGAGTGTTATTCGAGTCTTATTTCTTACTCGCGTATAGAGAACGGTGTACAAATTCCTATCATTTGAATTGTTGGGCGACACTGCGACTCTTATATCGAGGTTGTCTCTGATAAAGAGTCTCTCACAGAGAGGGATGAGTATAATGGACCCACACAAATTATTAAATGGGCGCCTTGTATAACGTGTTCGTAATTGTTGTTAAATGCACGCTCTTTTATATAAAAAGTTGTTGCTCATCAACGCTTGCATATCAGGCGATACTCCTGTCTTCAATACCGCAGGATGTGATGTACGTAGCAGGAGAGGGATAACAGGATGTGATGCTGCTGAAACTCGCTCATGAGGTCTTTTGTTTTTTGTACTTGCGGTCGGCCATGAACGACCAAGCTGGTGATTGTTAGTCGTCAAAATGCCGGCAAGTCGATGTTGCTCAACAGATTATGCGCAATGATCGCGTTCTTACTGTCACGAGTACGTAACGAAGCGTTCAGTTTACTTTGGTGCACTACACGCTAACACGAGTTGTCATCTTTTTTGGGGCCTGTAGTGACGCGTGATCCGGTTTGACTTCCATGAACATTTCATGGGTGTCCCATCAAGCTCGTGGATACGGTCGGTAGTCGGCGATACAGTAAGCGAGATCACGATGACCGGATTAATAACTTGTTAGTGCATGATGCTCTCCGTGCAATTGACTCGGTTCAAGTCGTGGTCGTTGTCGTGGATGTGAGCAAGCCTAAGCTAATTCACATAGACCTTACTATTGCACAGCGTGTGGTTGAAAAGGAACTAGAGCTAGTGCTAGTCGTCGACAAGAGCGACCCCGTAGGCGCAGGCACAGAATTCGAGATGCAACGTTTCCAGAACAAGCTGTATGAATCACATTTACAAGTACGCGATGTTCCTGCGATATTCATCTCCGCGCACACAGGCAGTGAAATAAAACAAACAAAAGTGCTGGAGATGCTCAAGACAGACCTTCGCGTTACCACTAGCATCTTGAAGCGATGGCCCAAGACCACGGGACAGCACCGCTTGCGTCCATGGTCAAGGGCAAGATACTGAACGTCAAGTGCACTACTTAAAAGTGAAGTCTCGACTGCCTACTTTTGCAGTGTTTGTGAGCAAGCCGTTCAAAGTGCCTGGATCATATCAGCGGTTATTGCTGAGCCAAACTGCGCAAGGGCGTTTGACACTGTGTGTGCCTGCTCGACTGCTATAACGTGGCAATAAGGAGGACTCGCTCGAGAAGCGCAGAAAGTTCCAGTAACGCACCAGCGGCACGATGTATGGCAAGCACCGCCACGACCTGAAAGCTGCTGCTGAATTGACGTCTACGGCCTCGCCCTAGTCGAAAAGTGGCAAGAAGTCTGCTATGACTAGGAAGCAGACGACCGGACACTTTGTTCCTCGCTCTTTTAAGGCCAAGAAATATGAACTTGGTCGCTGACGTGACGAGACAAGTAATAGATCGATCCGTTGATCAAATTTCACCAACCTCGTACACCACCGTCTTGTACCTTGTTTGTTGTAATAGCTTGCAAAACATCATGCTTAATGCACTAAAAATCTGGCTGTCTGTCACCCGCAAGCTCTGCAAAAGAAGTGTCAAGCTTAAGCAAAGTGCAAGGGAGTACAAGTCAAACGCAGTAACTATCTCGTCCACTTTTGTTGCGTGCTCAACCAGTCGAAGAGCTCTTTACGTAAATGTTGAAAGGATGAAGCCAACCTTCTCTGCTATAGATGGCGATCAAAAACAACTATCCTTACTGCATACTTGTCTGCATATGTTTGCTGATCCGGCGGTCGGGCATGTTGGCTAGAGATTGGCGTCCATTGAACAAGGCGTCCATTAGAATTACGGCTCCTCTGGCTGCAAATAGGAGCCTGGACATGGCCGCGTTAGCCAGAACGGCGTACATTTAAGAAAGTGTTGATGTAACAACTGAAGTGCGTGCATTGAACAATTCCCTGTACATACATCAGATAAGCGTGTTCGTTGGCGGCATGTTGAACGCATGTCGTTCTATGGCAACTCGCACGGGGTGAAGTCCTCGACTAGCTATTGCTGGATAGTGACGATATCCATCCAGTAAGACGAGCGGACTTCCGCGCAGGTCGCTGAGCCTACGAATGATAGAATCCAACAGGTTCACGGTACTCTAGCATGCCGTATTTACCGCTCGGGGGGACTCATTCATGTGCAACGATCGATCCCTGATGTTCACCATGTCGGTCTTGATCACTTGCAGATCCTATAACCTAGCACTTGAGCTACTTGTACACTTTACTTCAGCCCCACATCCCGGTTTTACCAGTTAGAACTTAGTTCTTTCACTCAAAAAGTCGGTCAGGCATAGTTCCTGCCCGAGGTCACACGGCAGCCGTCGAGTCAGAGCGGCTACTCTTCTTGGCCATAGTGATCGAGCTCGGGCGTACATGAGTACTTCATTCAATTGCATGGCCTTGTCCAATGATGCAGAGTTAAGAGCATTCACACATCTATCACAGCTGTCAACGCTTGACGTGGTCTTGACGCCGACGTCTTGTAAAAGGACCGGTACGTCTCCTGTGTCGTCTTACTCTACCAGCTTTGGACCAGCGAAACGCCATCATCTTCTGATGCTACTAGGCTAGAACCTGTCGATATCCTGTATGTCATCCTTGGCGCTCACATTAATGTTCCTTTGTAGCATGGCGGTCTAATTGCTTACTCGCAGTCGTACGCCCATTTATCTGCGTAAGTCAGACTCTCACAGCGTTCTAGTGCTGTAAGCGACTGATGACTCCTAAGCTAGCTCACAACAACCGCACATCGAGTAGAGAAGATGACACAATTGATGACGGTCACTCAGTGGATGCGCAATCCAGACCGTTCTTGGATACGAGTGGTAGGCTCCCACATGTACTGCAAAGCTGCAGCATCCAGTTGTCTCAAGGGTAAACTTTTTCTTTCCTGAAGCCGCCTATGAGTGCTTTCCGCTTTGCTTTCTCTTCATCAAGTTCCCTCCTCTACGACCTGTACATCGATTCAACATACCCTGACGGATGCTGCTTCTTGGGTGCAATACCCGAATGACTTGTCGAGCTTTGGGTTAACCCGCAAGTACATGTCACATCTGGACTATAGAGCATCTTGATCATGCGGTGCTGGCCGCCCGTTCCTGAACTATTTTATGCAGTATCAGCCGCTGGCCCTTCAATCTAACATCAAGTTGAAGGACATGCAACTGTACAAGTGCTTCGAGATTTATATGGCCAAACCTGCGCTGGCCACGACTCAACAATATCAATCGGTGCTGGACCAGACAAAAGTTCATGGCACCTCTACAGAAGGCGCTTTATCTACGTTAGCTCTTTACGAAGCTGCTGACTGCGGCAGTCAGCGTCGAGGGCAAGAAAAAGTCTGGTTGGCAGGACACGATACGACAGTCGCGTAGTAGGAGCGGCAAACGCGTCTACACGGTAGATCCATGGCAATGTAGATGTCATGGCGAGCCAAGACACCATGTCCGAGATGACGCTCATGCGATAAGGAGCCATGCAAGTCTATTTACGAGTCAGATACCGCTGTGTGATACCAGCTGCAAGCACGCGGCCTCTTTTCGGCATCACACGATCGCAAAGCTCACCTACAGAGTAGGACGACTTGGGATACAGCAGCACGTACAGAACAGGGATACGATCAATGCAAAAGAGGTCATGCAATTGCAGGGAAACAAAGACCATCATCCAAAGGTGTTACCAATCACAGCATACGATAGAGAACATGTTCAGGAGACACCGCAGTCCAGTGCCACGCGTGATACCATGTAGTCGATTCTCCTGACTCATGAGCTCATCTAAATGCGTTCGTCAATACGTGAACACTGGTAATTCAACGACAAGGAACAGAAAACTGCGACGTCGACCAACTGTACCGTTGAACGTATGGACATCGTTCGCGTGTAGCAAATGTATAGTCTCTGGTGTCCATACGCCCAGCGATCGCCACACGTACATACATGTGCTGACTTCTCGCGTGCAGCCGGTAGAATTCAGTCCAGCACATCAACAACGGCAGAGCGTATGGAAGGTACACGCGTAAGGTAATGGTTCAGCTGGCGGGGGTGCCAATTGGGCACATTGCGACGTATGCGAAGAAAGCTACTAGCTAGACTTCCTGGATGCTAAAGGAGTCTTTTAACCCCAGCGTTGTTGAACAAAAGCCAATGCCAACTGCCGGACGAGAGAATTGAGCAACGCCACAACGTAGGACTGACTTGTTCTCAGTTGTACTGGAAGATGTCGATTAATTGTACATAGATGCACGAGAGCATGCACATGATCGTGGCCAGAGTCTCACATGCGCGAGCAATCCTCCTTTCCGCAAATATAAAGCAGTGGCGATCTATCTCAATGACAGGGCGTTGCTTGATATACATGGCGACCTCTTCTTGGCGTATGTCGACCAACATGTCGGAAGTAAATCCATGTGCCACGCATGACTTGATCTCTTGGTTCGAAGCAAAGGTCAAGCAAGCCAGTGGCGTTTAGGATGAGCTGTGCGATTTGACAACCTCTGTACCGTCCTCTGCCGTTCAATCGTTTTTTCCGGCCGCTCTCCGAGCGTCTGATGTGAAGAATGCAACGTTTCACACTGTATCACTCTGCAATTTGCTTCTCGTTACGCAGGGCAGGGACCTGTGAAAAACCACAATGCACTTCCCTCATGTCCTCCTCTTTGGTGCAGTCGCGCTGCTCGCTTCTTCGGATGCTCGATTGCACTCGATTCCGGTCAATTTGACCTCGTTGGAGCCGAATGGTATCACTTCTGCGCGCCCAGACGACGCGCAGTCGGGTCAACGCGCCAAGGATGGCGATCCCGTGGATGAAGACGACAACGACGAAGGCGAAGAAGAAGATGAGAGGATCTTTGACTTCAAAGGGCTTCTTGGGATCGAGAAACTCCAGCGATTTCTACAGCCGAAAGTGACTATGGGAAAGCTGGGTACCTGGATCAGCCAAGAAAAGTCACCCGACTACGTGTTCGAGAAGTTTGGCTTCCACAAGCCTGGGAAGGAGCATTTCGACAACCCGGACTTCAACGTGTGGGCTGCGTACACGAAACTTGTCGTAAAAGACGACCCTGAGAAAGCAATGCTGGCTATGCTGAGGAAGTACCACACGGAAGAGGAGCTGGTGAGAAAGCTTGCAGCAGCGAAGGAGGGCGACGCAACGAATGCCATTTTCTCCAGATTGTACGCCGAGTGGATGGCTGAAGGAAAAACTCCGCTCGATGTGTTCATGGCTTTTGGGCTGCATGAGGCAAAGACCGTTGACGCAAAATACACTTCGTTTGCCAGATGGCTCGACTTCATTGATACACAGAACAAGGATCAGGGAAACGCTGGACTGATCATGCTTACGGCGGTGGCAGGACATGTCAGCTATTCCGATCTGATACAGCTGCTTGGAAAAGCAAAGACCGAGGCGGCTCAAATCGCGAGAAACATGCTACCGCGTTTCTGGAGTAAAAATGGTCCAAACGAGGCATTTAAAGAGGCTGCGCTCAAGGGAGATGGCGAATTACTGTCGAGCGCAGGGTTTCTGGCGTGGATAAAGTTTATGAGCAGTCATAACAAGGCGAACCCTTCTCAAAAAGCGAGCGTGTTTGAGACGATGGAACGCTTCTTTGGTGAGGAACAGTTGACAACGGTCTTAATCACGGCATCGAAGAATTCTGTATCCACTGAACTATCCAAAGAATTGCTATCCAAGCAGATCGCGCAATGGAAGAAGAAGGCAAGTGAACTTCCGGATCTCAAAGATACTGGGTATACGGCAAAAGCTATCTTAAAGAAGCTACAACTGGATGGAGACAAAAACGTCGTCACGAACCCGCTATTCAGTCTCTGGCGCCAGTATTCCATAGAGACTGCACAAGGGTCTTCCATGATTGAAGCACTTCTCCATAACTACAAAAGCGATGTTCTTGCGAAGATGATTCTCGAAGCAAAAACGATAGAAGGCTCAGAGCTGACAGCTAAACGCGTGGAGGCCCAACTTTTTGCGCACCTGTCAATGGTGGCAAAAACATACAGTGTTGATCCTGACACCGTCGCCCGCTCAGCTTTTAAACTTGGCCCTAAAACGGAGGATGACGAGCCAAAGGGCCCTTTGAAAGGCATGTACGATGACTTCATGGTGTTTGCCAAGACATCGATGAATTTGAAAGTTGACGCGGCAGTGACACCGTTAGAGACGGTGCAGAAGAAGCTGGATGATTCAAGACTTTTGAACGAGAAGATGGCGGAACTGACGAAGCCGGATGATTCAAGACCTTTGATGGAGAAGGTAGCGGAAGCGAGGGAAGTGTTGAGGAAGGAAGAAGCAGCCAGGGTACGAGCAATGTCGAGAAAGACCTTGCAGGATTTTCTCATGGAGCCACATTAGTTTTCGAGGCATGTAGCTGCATAAATGATTAGCACGTAAGGTGGATGTTCATGTTGTTACATTCCATCGAGGTGGTACAAGCTAACAAACCATGAGATTGAAGAACTTCGTCATTCGTGCGTATGCTGCGATGCCAGTGTTTTTTCTGCATGTCAGTGGTTCCTTTTCGCGTGCCAAGTAGCTAACGGCACGCGCAGTGATCGAAGCTGAAGAAATGCTATTTCGAATGCAAAAGATGCTGCCCAGCTGTACCTCTTCACAACCACAAGTTCTCTCTCACCAAAGGGTGTGTGTGTGAGTTACTGGAGAAGCTCATTATGAAATGGTGTGGGCGCTAGAGCGATCACTTAAAGGCAGTCAACTTGGATGAGCTGCACGCGAGTATATACTTCCGCTAGAACAGCAAGCAATACGTTTAGCGATCTGCATTTGTCTATCTGTCTTTACGCTTGAATAAAACGAAATGGTTGGTCCGAAGTAGCCAAGACCCTGGTCCGGGAGGGGCCATCTGCTGGATATTGTCTGGATATTGTCACATCTGTCTACCTTTGTCAAAGTGTCAGCTTGACGGTATCAGTGTCCTTCATCTTTACTTAAATCAATAGGTCAAGATGTCACGAGCTAAAGTTGCGCTTGAGAGAGAGACACAGACACACATCCTGCGTGTGTGTGTATCACTGGTCTTTTTCCTCGCTGTCACACTGCCGAAAAATCCACGTGACTACTGAAATAAGTAAGATCCACGAAAATAAAGCTCCTTCAACAGCAAAAAAACAACAACAACAAAAAACAACCCCTCTCCCTATTCGTCTACAGCCCCCCTCCCCCTCCACCTCCTTCAGTACCCCCCCCCCGAACCTCAAATATGTTCGACTCTTAGAATTAATAAAACAAACATCACTCGCAGCAAGTTTCACTTGCCTCATGAAAAGAAAGAAGAAAATCAAGAAAGAGAACCCAACCGGATCGATTCTCTCCTTAGGTGCACAACGAGACATGTCGCATGATGACGCGCCCTTTGGTGTAAACTGTACCCATCCGTCGCCCTTCCCCACACAAAACCCCAAAATCCGTCCCATCTGTTTACCCAATCAGCATCAGCATCATCACCATCACCGGCAGCAGCACCAAAAGAGCTCCTCACTTTTCAAAAGACCTTCTCACCGACCAATCGCTGGCGGTCTCCTCCCTCCCCCTGTCACTAGTGAAGAACCAAACTAGAAAGTGGAGTCATGCCTCCAGTCTGCACCAACTGCGGCGCCTCGAGCACCACAACCCGCAGCAAGTTCTGCTCCGAATGCGGCCAGCGCTTCATACCCACCACCACCGCCACCACTACCACCTTTGACAGCAGCAGCAGCTTCTCCTCCTCTCTCCCCAACGACATTGCGCCACTCGGTGCCTCTGCGTTCCGCACCCCTTCGTCCGCCTTGGGCAGCCACGCGTACCAGCATACTCCAGCTAGTACCAGCCACAACCACACGCTACCCCTTGTGGCTCCACCACTCTCCTTTGCTACCGTGGACGCTTCTCCGTTGCCATCCAATGGCAAGTCCTTGTCCCCCTCTAGTGCTCTCCGCAATAGCAGCAAACCAAGCGGCAACGTCCGCAACACTGTGCGGTTCGCCTCCACCAGCAGCTCTTCCACCGAGTCTTTTGCTCCTTGTGACGTGGTACCACCCGCAGCAACTGGAGCTGACGCGCTGCAGCTCTATGAGCAGTGCGTGCAGACGATCCGAGCCGCCAAAGGTGGACTCAATGACCGCGGGGTCAAGGAGTTCAAGCACAATTGCCGCCAATTCGGACTTAAGGAGATCACGGTCGAGCGCTTCTACGCGTCGATCGTTGCCGAGCTCGGCCCCCAAGGCACGAGCGCGTTCGTCCCGACGTTGGCTCGATTGGTGCCGGATGACGAGCGGAGGAAGGAGCTCGTGGAGTTTAATGCCGTCCAGCAACGACAGGGACTTGATGAGAGCAGGAGCAGCAGTTTTACTACCAAAAGCAATAGCAGGAGCTCGAGCTTCCGTGATCGCAGCAGCAGTGCGGGGCAACGCCCGTCGCAGACTCTTGTGCAGCGGAACTCGAGCATGACCGAGTCGGACGCTGGCGTTCTGACAAAGAAGGGGCTGCTGAACAATCGATACGCGGACCATCCAAACTGTGACGTGTGCAGTGTCCACTTTGACGTGACGAAGCGACGACATCAGTGGTGAGTGGAAGAAGAGCTTTGGGGGGCAAAGGAGAGAGAGAGAGATGGGACGTGATGCAGTGGATAAGTGAGCTGACAATGTCTCTTGTGATCTTGTTGTTGCTGTTGTAGTCGTCTCTGTGGGCAGTATATCTGCAGTGCGTGCTCGCCCGTTCGACTGTTGGTGCCTCCTGGTCGAGAGATTGAAGGTGCGAAGAAGTACGACGCGTCGATTCCACAGCGCGTGTGTATCCAGTGTGCCCCGCAGCTGCACCCGCTGCAGGATGAGTTAGTTGCAATGTACGCTCAGTCACAGACGGACAACGCCCATGAAGCTCGGAGTCGGCTCCATATTCCGTTTACAAACTCGCTGAACAAAGAGTGCTGTAACGCTGCCGACGTGATTGGGAATTTCTTCCGCAACGAATGGGGATCATCAGCTGACCGTGCGATTCCAGTGGCTTTCCTGCAGAAAGCTCATGGTCTTGCGGTCATGACTGTTGTCAAGGCAGGGTTCCTTGTCTCGGGCACCATTGGCACGGGGTTGGTTGTTGCCAAACTGCCGGATGGCTCTTGGTCCGCGCCTTCTGCTATTGGAACGTTTGGACTCAGCGGTGGGTTTGAAATTGGCGGTGAATTGATCGAGGTGATGATTATTCTCGGATCAGAAGGAGCAGTGAAGGTTTTCCATAAGCCACAAGTAAGTCTCGGTGCAGGGCTGGACCTTGCCGTGGGTCCATTTGGTCGATCAGCACAAGCAGCTGCTGCTGCCAGCTCGAGTGGCTTGAATGCCAATTACAGCTATTCCCACAGTAAGGGACTCTACGCCGGGATATCGCTGCAAGGGGCGATTGTCGCAGCGCGCACGGACATGAATCGGAAGTTTTACGGTCGAGACTTGCAGCCAAGTGAGTTGCTGAGTGGCTACGTGGAGCAACCAGCAGCTGCGCGGCCATTGTATGAAGCGATTGATAACGCGATGCGAGGCATTGCGAATCACAAGGAGGAGCAGCAGCGTCGGTCCGAGGTGATGGGGGCATGCCGACTGTGCAATTGCCCCATGTACCAGGCCCACACGACGCAAGTGTGGAACAAGAAGTGTAAATCGTGCAAACACGCACATTAAGGAAGGAGGTGCTAGGATAGGTACTACTTGCTAGTTTTGATGTATGCAATATATTCATTTGGATCACGGTTGGAGTGGTGCCGAAGCGTGTATGTACACTGTCAAAATTGGTCTGCAGCTTGCCACTGTACGCTAACGACGTCACGGGTACCATCGATCGTCCTGGAAAGATGTGCATTAAATACAGGTGCGTACATACTTGAGCGTGATCACGGGGCCGCTGCTGCAGCAGCAGTTTCTTCGACTGTGATAAGCAGCGGCTTGGCAGTCTTTGCGTCCTTGACAACTTCTCCATCGTAGTTGGCGTTCATCTTGACGTGCATAACTTGGCCTGGACCAGCAGCTCCTTCGAGGAGCTTCACGGCCATCGGATTCAGCACGTGCTGCTGGATCAGACGCTTCAGTGGCCGAGCGCCATAGTGTGGACTGTAGCCCACGTCCGCCAGCCAGTCTTCGACACGCGCGTCCACCTTCATCGTTAGGTCTTTCTCCTCGAGCATGTCATCGACTTGGCGGAGCTGCAAGTCCACGATCGCACGGATATCCTCGCGCTTCAAGCGGTTGAACAGCACGAGCTCGTCGATGCGGTTGAGAAACTCGGGCGAGTAGTGGGCGCGTACGACATTCATGACTTCCGCCTCCACCACGGAGCTCGGCGTCTGTTCCGGCAAGCCAACGAGCACATCAGACCCCAGGTTGCTTGTCAATATGATGACGGTATTACGGAAGTCGACCAGCCGACCTTGCGAGTCCGTCAGTCGCCCTTCATCCAGCACTTGCAGCAAAATGTTGCTCACATCATGATGCGCCTTTTCAAACTCGTCAAAGAGCACGACCTGATACGGGCGACGGCGCACTGCTTCCGTGAGTTGCCCCCCTTCCTCATAGCCGATGTAACCTGCCGGCGCGCCAATCAGACGGCTCACGTTGAACTTCTCCATGTACTCTGACATGTCAATGCGCGTAAGCGCTTGCGGCGTCTGGAACAAAAACTCCGACAGCGCTTTCGTCAGCTCCGTCTTGCCGACCCCCGTCGGCCCAAGGAACATAAACACACCCAGCGGTCGATTGTGCGCGTGCAGCCCCGCCCTCGCCAACCGGACGCAATTGCTCACAGCCGTCACGGCTTCTTCCTGGCCAATCACGCGCTGATTTAACGCCTCTTCCATCTGCAGCAGTCGCTGCTTCTCGCCTTCCATCAGCGTCGACGCCGGGATGCCCGTAGCTTGCGCCACGACTTCCGCGACATGATCCGCTGTAACCGCATCGCCCAGCGCCGTGCGACTCCGCCTCTTCTTCTTCTTCGTCTTTTTCCCGTCGTCGTCTTGCTCTCCGTCGTCCTCGTCCTGCTCTTCATGCGCCACTTCGGCCTCCAACTGCGGAATCACCGCGTGCATCAGCTCTCCCGCGCGTGCATAGTCGCCGCTATTCTGCGCCGCCACGAGCTCCCGCCGCGCTTCCTCCAGCTTGCGTTTCGCGTCCTGCATCGCCTCCAACTTGCGCTTCTCCGCTTGCCACTCGTCCGTCAACAGCTGCAGCTCCGTCTCCAGCCGCTCCACGTCCGTCTCCACCGCCGCCAAGCGCTTCTTCGACGCGGCGTCCGTCTCGCGCCGCAGCGCTTCCATCTCAATGCGCCGCAAGAGCAGCGCGCGGTCCAACGTCTCAATCGCTTCGGGTTTGCTCTCGAGCTGCAGCCGCAGCCGCGACGCCGCTTCGTCCATCAAGTCAATGGCCTTGTCCGGCAGCTTGCGCTCACTCAAGTACCGCGTGGCCAGCGTCGCGGCCGCGACCAACGCGCTGTCAGCGATGCGCACGCCGTGGTGCACTTCGTACTTCTCCTTCAACCCGCGGAGGATCGTCACGGTCTCGTCGGCACTTGGCTCGGCGAGCAGCACGGGCTGGAACCGCCGCGCCAGCGCCGCGTCCTTCTCAATGTACTGCCGGTACTCGTCCAGCGTTGTCGCGCCCATGCAGTGCAGCGCGCCCCGCGCCAGCGCGGGCTTGAGCATGTTGGCCGCGTCCGTGGAGCCTTCGTTGCCCCCGGCGCCCACGAGCGTGTGGAGCTCGTCGATAAAGAGGATCACGCGGCCGTGGCTGTCGTCCACGTCCTTAAGTACGGATTTCAGCCGCTCTTCGAACTCGCCGCGGAATTTCGCGCCGGCCACGAGCGCAGCCAAGTCGAGCGCGACAACCTGCTTGTCCTGGAGACTGGACGGCACTTCCTTCAGAGCGATGCGCTGCGCGAGGCCTTCAGCGACCGCGGTCTTGCCGACGCCGGGGTCGCCAATGAGGATCGGGTTGTTCTTGGTCCGCCGCGAGAGGATCTGCGTCGCGCGCCGGATCGCGTCTTCGCGACCAATCACCGGGTCGAGCTCGCCGGCGTGCGCCAAGGCGGTCAAGTCGCGGCCGTACTTCTTGAGGCTCTCGCCGTGCGGGACGTTCGCGGGGTTGATCCAGGGCGACGAGGCGCCGCTTAGAGAGGCAACGCAGCGACGGGAGAGTGCGCGCGCGGAATGGGGCGACAGGGCGCGTCTGGCGGCGGGGCGGAACATGGCACAGAGTGATGGTCGCAAGGTTGCAGTTGCTCTGCGGTGCGGGTTGGGTTGGGTTTTGGTGTTTATATAAAAAGCAGTGCTGGAAAGTGAAAATGGGGAGGTGCGGTCGGTACGCCGTGGGATGCGGGTGAAAGATGCTTTTTTCTGGAAGGTTCGAGGGGTTGACAAGTGGAAGGGAAAGAGGGTGGATTTTGCATGATTACGTGAGCTTTGAGTGCGACGATTGGCTGGTGCAGTGATGCGACATTCGAGAAGGCAAAAAACGGCAGATGGAAAAAAGGGAGCTGCAGTTGGGTAATTTAATGCTGCGTGTATACCATAGTATACATGCCGGTCAACTTCAAGTGGACCGACGACTTCTTTTCAGCAATTACTGACATCGATTCATTGCTGACAATTAATTCGATAGAATTGAGCAAGTCTGATCACATCATTTTCACCTCTCAAGCGAAATATGTGATTGGAACAGCAACGTACAAAAAGACAACCAATCCGATAATGACCTTGCAACTTGCGGATGATGATGAAATATAGAGTCACAGAAAAACCATACCCGATGCAAACGTCAATCGCGATCATTGTGCATAGCCGTGCTATGTTTGCAGAGTCATCATAGAATGTTAGTGGCGAAGCCGGCAGCAATTGTAAGTGTGCGCTATCGAGAAATTTGCCGTATCTAAAGGACGGACATGCCTATAATGTCACAAAACTCATGATCTTGTGCCCCTTCAGGCAAGTGGGTGTACCTACCAGCCTTGACTTACTCAGTCAATCAGAGGAAGCAAGACGCGAGCACTTACTCCATACCATAATAATGAGGGAGTCGTTTTCGGCACTCAAGACGTAGCTTTCACTACTACATGTGTAGAAGGGGGAACTACTTATGTGGACGGCACTGAGCGCTTTCGAGGCCCGATCGTGGTGCTTTGACATCAAACAAGTGCCACCGGAGCGGGAACCTCCAGCGGAATCGTCGCTCGAGGCCAACATGTGGATGATGACAGCTGCGTGGCCGTTTGTCTCTGGTTACTAGTTGCAAACGTAGCAATGAACCTCCATGACAACGTCAAAAGAATGTCTTACCAACACACCAGAGTAGTAGTTGATTCGATCGTTGGCGTCCGGAGTGAGGTCAGCACAGGATGAGAAATAGACGCTTGTCACGACACTTTACTCCGTAGCTAGTGATGACTTCGACTTGTCGTCATATCATGCTTAACAAAGCCCGATCATGCTTGACTGGGCAGGTCGGGAGCTCTCCACATCGAGCGGCTACGGGGCAGCCGTTTCACATGCGAGTGCCGAACGGTACCACACGTACGTGTAGTGACTATGACATGGTCCCTGGCGTGAACGCAGCAGTAGACACAAACGCCACCACAAGTAGATGACAAACGCACGTATCTCTAGGGCAGTATCGGGCACGGCTCTCTCGGGTCGATGCGCAGACGTCTGGACTGGATGATGCAGAGTTTACAGCACAGCACGGACACGGGACCCGAGTGACCAACGAGTCGTCGCTTGATGTTGCATTTGCTACATGTCCGTTCGTGACAGATGCCGCATTTCGGGTGAGCCGATCGAACAAGGTGGGGCATAGCAGGCCTCTTCTTCTCACACACGTGACATGGTTCTCGAGCCACCCGCAGTGACTTGATCTTGCGATCGCTAGCGAAATACTGCGAAGACGAGACCATCGACGCGGATAACAAGTCCATGACGGAGCTACTTGTGATCGTCTGCGACCGGCCCAAGTCCCCTTCGCTCCTCTCTGACGCTGTATGCTTTCCCTCGTCTCGTTCCTTCGCTCGCTCTTCCATGCGGAGAAGCGCGAGCTTTGTCAGGCGCTTACCTGCCGCGCTTTCCATTGCCACTGCCATCGAAAACATCATAGCACACGACGCACTACTGGTGACGAAAGCTGGCATCCCTCCGCCTAGCTCCATCGCTCCTCTTGCATACACACGCACGACTTTCGACCCTGGCTCTTGGCGGTAGATGCAGCACATGGCCATCTTGCCACGGATCACGTCGCTGTGGTCTGGCATCGGTGGGCACCCTGAATGGTTGGCAAAACGAGCGAGGAAGTAGCCGTAGCGATGACCGCATTCATCAACCCCCATGCCCGTCGACTCGATGTTGAACCAGTCGCGGTGGTTCACCAACCGGGCGTCACCAAACGTCTCGGCGACCGACCACTTGAGCGCAAGTTGATTGTACGGATCAGCGTCTGAGCCGCTCTCCAGAACGTTCAACACGGCACAGTCCATGTGGCTGCTGTGCAGATACGCTGCGGTTGCTCGCATCTCGTCGCGGTTTTTCGAGTGGGTGCCATACAGCATGTCTTCCATACTGCCTTCGACGGTGCCCGTGCACTTGACGCTGAACGCACTCGAGGCCTTGTCGAGTGGCACGTACTTGTAGACACTCAAGTCTTCGCGTCTCTTGAGCAGTTTCCACTGCTTCTCATCCGGCTCCCGACTTCCCAAGCGACGGTAGTCACACTCTTGCATCAAGGTGCTGGATACGATACTGTGCGCCAAGTCACGGAAGCCGTGGACCTCTTCGTCCTTCAGATGAAGCTTCGGGGACGAAGCGGTACGGGAGGTAGGTCGAGTTGGTGCGTTCACGAGGTCGTCCCATGCTGTTAGTCGACGCTTGACAACCTTTGGATGGGAATCCGCTGGAACACCGTCAGTAGGGAGTGTAGCTGCTCGTCGGTTGTGGACCGATCGCATCATGTTTCAAGAAGGGACCGACAGTCGATGGACGCCAATGAATGAGTGCGTCTGAAAACGAGAGGAGTTGGCAGCTTTGAACTAAGCTGATCAACGCCCGAGTCGCTCGTCGTCGTCCGAGTCGCATCGTAACTCACTTCCGGCTGAAGCAAGCGGCCGAACTATTCAGTCCCCATGGGTTGCGACTCCCCTGATCATCGGATGTTGTTGCTTCTAGCTGACAATCGGGGTAAAGGCACTCTCGTTTGAAGATCCGTTCACGGATGTGTTCACTTGCCAGCTGTGGCGTTCGGCAGGGTCTTGATGGTAAGGACAAGTACAAGGCCGAACGGGTTACCTGCTCTTTGAAGCCGGTTAGCTCTTCGTTCATCGATGACCACCTTTCTTCCGCGTAGCAACGTGGTAGTCACGTCCATGTGGCACAGACAGGAGGTAACGGGTTAGCTCCCCTCCCTGTATGTGCCGGTCATGACTTACGACCATGACCATGTATGTATCTTGCTAGGGTACGCGTGTCAATGAACTAGCAGTAGACGGCTTACAGGTTGACATTGAACGACAGAGAGCTTTGGACACTACAGACTAGAGAGCTCGGTACCCGAACATTGGAAACGGGTCACGGGGGTCCACCTTCAGTCGCTTGGCTGTTAGAAGGCAGGCTTTGCAGCAAGCAACCGCGACGGGTTCCAAGCGGGCGTACAAGTTCTGCTTGATACTGCACTTGGAGCAGACGCATTGGTCACATACGCCGCAATTGCGGTGGCTCGAGTGCACGAGTCGAGCCATCATTGGCTTCTTGCCACATACGCTACAAGCCCGGCTCGACGTCTTCTGTGACGTTGGAATTGAGTCTGCATCCTTGATCAGCGTCGACGCTGTAGGCGACAGACCTTTGGAACTTTGCGGTTTAGTGCACAGCGAGCTGCTTCGACGCAGCTCTGAGGTCAATAAGGACACGGTGTCTTCAGGTTCTTTCGCTTCCTGTCGAGACCGCAAGTTCTGAAGCGCTAGGAAAGTGAGGCGTTTAGCTTTAGCACTAGTCACTGCTTCGACGTTCGAGAGCAGGAGATCCGAAGCTGCCTCGTAAGCCATGAAACTCGGAAGACTTCCACCTAGATCGGTCATTGCTTTGCCGTACACCTGTACAGTGCCTTGGACTTGCCGGTAGATGCAGCACATGGTGATGTTTGCACGCACCACGCCGCTGTCTTCAGGTAACGGGGAGCATTCTGGTACATCGATACTCCGAAGAAGGTGGTAGCCATAGCGCTTGCCGCTTGAGTCGTGGCCAAAACCCATGGACTCGAGTGCACACACGTCGCGGTTGTTCACGACCCGTGTATCCCCGCAAATTTCGGCAAGAAGGTACTTGATCGACAGTTGACGGAACGGGTCCTTGTCAGTGCCGCTTTCTAGGACAGCCAGCACGTCGCAGTCATGAGAAGGTCTGCCAATGAATGTCATGGTTGCTCCCATCTCGCTGCGTGTCTTGGCGTGTACTCCATAGAGAATGTCTTCAATCGTGCCATCGACTGAGCCAACGCATGCTACGGCTGGAGGTTTCTCCAGCGACGACCCGAGGCGATGATGATCCGCTTGAGGACATACCCGCAGAGCCCTTCGCTTGTAGAGTTGAAGGTGGTTCTGCTTCTTGAGCACCTTCCACTCACTCTCCGCTTGCTCCGGTCGTCCGAGTCGGTCGTATTCGCACTCATGTGCCAGGGTTCTCGAAACGATACTATGCGCCAAGTGGCGAAAGCCTTCGACGGTGCCATGCGTTAGCTTCACTCGAGCCGGTGACACCGAAGCCACGTCCCGTAGTTGCAAAGGTGTTGAGCTGGACTGCGGTGATCCGAAGGGACTCGACTGCGTCTTGAAAAGGATATACCTACGTCGGTTCCCGTTCGATCCCAAGTCGTTCGGAGCCGTTGCGCGTCGTGGTAAAGCTCGAATCGAGGCATGCGCCTGCTCACTTTGATCAGCTTGAGGCACTGGAGCTGTTGCCCGTCGAGTGGGTAGTGCCATCCAGTGACTACGCGTCTCTACTTTTGTTGGCAAGTGAGCTTCTAGCTACAAGCCTAACTGCAACTCACTAGCTCCTTGTCGGATCACGAGGACTCGCCGACGCGTGCGTAATCGCCAGCTGCGATATCCGATCGAAGTCATGTCATCTGGTAGATGAATGAATTACCAACGTGTCCGTCTAGCTCGCAAGCTGAAAGCTCTTGATGCTACCCTACTACGTACACACCCGAGTCTGTTCCTGCTTGCTACTAGTGGTAGCAAGATGACTGACCTGACGTCAGCGTGACATCTCAAGCAAGTGCTGCGTCGCTGACGGGCATCCTTTCGTCGATCCTCCACGAGTGCTCATTTCATTTCGGTCAAAAGCTAGCGGAGCTCAAGTGGTTCGTCCATGTGGTGCTGACGAAGGCGTTCCTCTGAACGTCGCTGGACGTCTTTCGTGCGTCGCTCAACGACGTGCTCAAGGAACGGGTGCTGTCCACACGCGATTGTCCTCGACAGTGACGTTGTCGTCTTGCACCCGGGCACATCTGGAGGAAGGTGGACAGCAGGTTGAGTCAGCTGTTCATCCATCAACAACGATGATCGATTTGTAACACCGGTAGAGGAGGGGAGTCACCATGAAAGCAGGAAGAAACACGAGGACAAACGAGCGCTTCGAGTCGATGTGCCTGTGTATAGCGGCATCAAGAGCAAAGGTGACAATGAAGTGAGGGTACTGTCGACAAGTTTATCATCGATTGATCCGGCTGTGGCCGCTCGCAGTGGGAAGTGTAGCCTGGTTTCAACCCGCAGCTTTCAACGCCATGGATAGTCGACATCTACAGGACTGATCAAGCATGTAAACGTTCCACCACCCATTGCGCCAACCTACCTCGCACTCGCCGCCTACCTGACGTGAACTTGATTATCGAGGCATGTGTCGGGGTAGTCGATAGAAAGCAACAGCAATGGTTGGCTGGCTGGCTGGCTTTCTTGCCGAATGCCGAAACACACGACAATGAATTGACTGCATCGATCATGAACAAACGTATAACCTACTGCATGTAAAGAAGTGCCACTGAGGTGATACCTGGTCGAACGCTGGAACCGCTCTGGGCTCAACTTGCTTCTCCTGCGGCATCGCGAATGCAATCCAGTCAGTCCCTCACCCGCGGCATTTCACACCGTGTGTCGTTCTTGCCTACCCTCTGGGTAAAGAAGCAGCGCGTAACGAAGGAGCGGGATGGCAATTTTTTCGCGCGTGTCTTCACGAATGACGCTATGCTACACGGACAATCGATGAAGGTCCTCCGTAGGACTCTTCTTCGCGAGCGTCATAGACGACTACAACATGTTCTCACCCACTCCCTACCATAAGCCTGTCGACACCTTCTCGAAACTACTTGTACATATTCATGCGCTCGATTGGTCTTTTGACAACCTCCTTCCGTCTCTAATCCACTCAGCTCCTAGAAACACATTACCGTCTACTGCGCACTACTACTTACCTCCTTAGCCGCATGTATCAATTTGTTCAGCCTCATCCTCGTTTCTACTCGACGAGTCGTACCGTCCTGTCGCCACCTGGCAATCGCTTTATCCTGACGGTAGACAAGTAGCGACAAGATCAACTCGTTGGGTATGCACTGGTTGAACCAAAGCGGTGGTGTATCGCTTCTGTCATAATGATCGAGAGAATGGTTGACACCATTTTCATGACCGATCGACCTACCCGATAGTTCACTGAGCTGGTATGTTGGTTCAATTGACGAAGCCTCGACGGTGCGCCACGGCACAGCATGTCTTCAACTACGGATCAATCACCGTGTGTGTTGTATTGACTTGCTACGCATCTGTTCGATTTTGCGAAAGCAAGCTGCTTCTGCAAGTGTTACCAGATAGATGATAGCCAGTAATACGTAGCAGGGTAGCATCTACTTTTCCTGCGCGCGTACAAAAGCCATCGAGATGTACGAATACATGAACCAGCAGTACGCGCCGACGAACACGACTCGCTGTAGCACTGGTGGTAGAATCACCAGCAGCTGGACGATGACGCCCCAGGACCACATGACCAAATAGGGCAGCGTGAGCCAGTGCCATACTGGCCACATGCCAACCAATAAACTGTGAAAAGTAATAGTCCAAGCAACGTCAACTCAACTATCCACACCATAAAGTGACCCTAACCAAATACAGCACCATATCCGGCCAATTACCACGCGTACCAAAGTCCAGACGCCAGCATCGACGCCAGCATTCCATGCGTTGCAGTCTTGACGCTCTCGTACTTAACGTGTTCCCCTAAAAACACGCTTCGATACACTTCAATATACCCGCCAAAAACGACCAAAAGCGTCCCGAACAAAACGCCCAGGTGCACAAAAGTGCGATTTGCGCGTGCACAATTGCCGACACAAACTGCGCTTCGTACAGCCCGAGCGACGCCACAGTCAAGAACATGAGCGACCAGAGTTTGTCCATCGCAAAGCGCACCCAACTCTCAGGCATCGAGCGCTGTCGTAGCGTCGCATGTGACAACATTGAAACGGTTTCCGTCACATCTTGACCGTCCTCGATCGCGTCGTCGCTCCGACGACGCTGTCGACGTTCGTTTACCTCTTGCATGGAATAACTCGCGTCTCCCGCCGCTCTGTTTTCTCAAAATACCGAACGAATTAATTAGTCCACACAAAAAAAAAACATCGCATCACGTCCCTATATTCCAAAACAAAACGGAATACCGACACGAGATTATCACATCTCAGAGGTTCGTCGAAATTGCATACGTCCCCGGATGCACAAATAAAAATACCTCTCTTATCCCGCTTGTCCCCTCCACCAGCCCCCTCCTCCCGTCTTAAGCTGCTCGTTATCCTGTATCTCCAGCTTAACTCTTCACGACATCATTGCAAGACCTCACGTTATGCTGCACCGCACCCCTCATCCGTCCTGCTCCAGCCTCGCTGCCTCCAAGCGCGGGGTATTCGCACTAACGTTCGGTAGCTACGTGTTGTTCCACGCCAGTCGCAAGAGCTTCTCCGCGATCAAGGGCCAAATGGCGGACGAGGAATGGCTACACTCAAAGCTCTACCGGCTGCAAGACCAGGCCGAGATGTTCGGCCTCATGGATACACTTTTCATGGCCTTCTACGCTCTCGGACTCTACATCAGTGGCGTCTTGGGCGATAAGTACGATTTAAAGCTGCTCCTGGCAGGGGGGATGTGGACCACAGCTGCTATCCTGCTTCTGTTCGGCCTTGGCGCACTAGCTAACGTGCATGCACTGGAGTTCTATGCTGCTTTATGGGCCTTAAACGGTCTAATACAGTCTAGTGGCTGGCCAGCGAATGTCGCAGTCATGGGCAAGTGGTTCAATCGGTCCGAGCGGGGAGCAGTGCTCGGGATCTGGAGCGGGAATGCCTGTGTGGGCAACATTGCAGGCACGGCGCTCGTGACGCTCTTGTTTCTGCTCGTGGCGGAGAAAGTGGCTTGGAAACTCGCTCTTGTCGTGGTTGCAGCGCTTGTAGCAGGATATGGACTGGTGCTGTACTTGTTCTTGTACCCGGACCCGACAGAGGTGCCGTATTATCCCGAGATACTGGAAGATGCCAAGCCAGGAAGAGCCAAGAAATTGGAGGAAGAGGAGGAAGAAGGAGATGGGGTTGTGGTGTGTGAAGAGCGGGCGGGTAGAGGCATTGGATTTGTAGAGGCGTGGTGTATTCCGGGGGTAAGCTTCGGACCGTGGCTGTGGTGGTGTGTGTGTGTGTCTTGTTGTTGTTGTGGTTGTTGTTGTGGTTGTTTGGGAAGTGTTACTTACTTTCGTTGGTGGCGGTGGGATGGATGGATGAAGGTTCTTCCGTACTCGCTGTCGTATGCCTGCTTGAAGTCGGTCAATTACGCACTATTTTTCTGGATCCCGTTCTACCTGACAGTGTCGCTGCAAATGGGGAACTCGGAGGCGGGGTCGTTTTCGGTTCGTGGGATGTCGTACGCCGTTGTATTCGTGAGAGAGGGAGAAGGACGGTGGGACTTTTGATTGAGTGGCGGTTGTTGCTGCTGGGTGTTTGGGTCGTGTGTATGCGTGTGAGTAGATGTTGTACGATGTGGGACAAATCGTGGGTGGCTTTGTCGGTGGAATGGTGTCCGACAAGATGGGCGTGCGGTCTCCCGTTGTTGTGGTTATGCTGCTGTTCTCTTGGTACGGACGAGCGAAGGATACTGAACGCCGCTGTTCACTGCTGTTGCTGCTTTGCTAACTGTCGCGGTGTCTGCGTCTTGTTTAAGCATCACGTTATATTTCTTAGATGGAGCTTCGTACGATATGACTGCGCTGCTACTGCTGACATCGGGGTTCATGCTCGGCGGCCCGGCAAACCTGATCAGCACTGCAATCTCTGCAGACCTAGGCACTCACGAGAGCATTCGGGGCAATGCGGAGGCGTTGTCGACTGTTACTGGCATTATCGATGGAACGGGCAGCGTTGGCGCCGCTCTTGTGCAGTACGTTGTGGGATACTTGGCCGCTTGCCATTACGAGCCGAGAGGGTGCGATCCAAAAAGCGCGGGCTGTGTGCAGGTCTGTTCGTGGAGTCCAGTGTTTCTCTTGCTTGAGGTGGGCACCCTTCTGTCGTGTGTATGCCTAGCTCAACTGCTGTACCACGAGTTGGTGGTCGTTACTAGCCGTTCCCGATAGTGTGGTGCAAGCAGCAGGCAGCAGCGAGCGTCGAAACCGAGATCGTCATTTGCCTCGGACAAGAGAGCCAAGACCAAGTTATGGCGAAGACCGAAGTTGAGTCTACTGCGTACGCTTCCGCAAGTTGTCGTCGTGCAACAAGAAGTGCATGCAGTGAGTGACTTCAATGTCATGCAACCGATGATGGATGGCCTACCATACAGCCTGGATCGGTGGAGCTTATCCGAACGACTCAATTGCAACCTGAGGTCGTGATGCTGTGCTCGAGACTGGAAAGCTGTCTGGAACATGACGTAAGCCCAGTTGAAACCGTCAAGAGAGAGAGAGATATGTGGTGGTCACGCACTGCAGCAGTTGACACATTCGTTCGGTGACTCTTGTCTCCATCACAACTAAACAAGAGCGAGGCATTCACTACATCTTGCTGACTTCATTGTACACGTGTCTTACCATATTACGCTACTATCTCCTCCTCCTCCTCTTCTTCCATTCACACTTATCGGTGAATCAATCCACACTGCTTCCCTCTTCAACGAAGGGACCGATGGTCTTTGTCTCTGGATACGTCTGTCGCTGTTTCTGTCTCAAGTGCACGACGCACTCGTGTCAGCATTGCGTCCGCCGAGCTTGCGATCGACCGGTCTCCACCTCCGGCTCCAGCTCGTCTCGCCAATACTGTTCGCAGTAGATCCCATTCAGACGAGCTGTTGCAGACGTATCTTCAGCGATCTTGCTCAGCTCGAAAAGTCGGGTCATCATTGACCGCTGACCTGCTGATACATTCGTCGGCACCTCGAACGTTTTCCCGCTGGGTTGCTGCTGCTGCACCTTTGGCGGTAACAGGTTATACATGAACCGGCCGTCCGCCTGGCTCGGATTCCATGCCCGCGTCCGTACTGGGTCATTTGCAGGGTAATCCCTCTGGTCGCTATAACGTGCCTCCTTCATCGTTCGTTGTCGACGCTCCAGAAATGAGTCGGGGATGTCCAGCTCCTCTTCATCCAGCTGGCTCAGTAAAGAGGTTACCGGCAAACTCGAGCCTCCATTTCGAGCAGGGTCCGGCATAAGGCACGACTCGGAAGGGAACGTCTGACGACGTTTGCCTGGTTCACGTTTAGACGTCTTGAGCTCAGCTGAGTCCGAAGAGATGCCCTTCCCTCTTGGTTTCGGCTGGTGGAACGTGAACTTCAAGTCCTTAACCGGCGTATGCAGCACGCGTTCATGAGGAGACGTGAACGTCCCAGTGTTGGCCTGCCGCACGCACCTTTGACAGGCAGCGACCTTGATAAAGTCGCCGAGAATGCCAAAGGCGTCACTCTGGAAGACGCGCTTGGGGATCGTGCATTTCTTGCACACGGCTTGTGCACACAATTGACAGTGCATCAATCTCCGCTTGGAGCCGCTTAGGGCACACACATGGCAGGCAGCTGAAGCTCCAAGCGAAGCCGGGTGCTTTCCAAATGTCCGTTGTTTCAGTGCCATTTGCGACAGCCGACGCACTTCTGCGAGCTCGAGTAACCGCGTGACCCCAAAGAAGATGTCGACGGTAAACATCGTCGCGAGGGGCTTCAAGACCCGACCCGAGATGTCCATATTGCCCAACATGAAGACGTCGACCAGGTTGGCACTTTTTTGACGATACAGGTACCGAGTGGACTGCAACGCCCGAATCGAGTTGTAGTCGTTCAGGTCCGTGAATTGAGCGAGCTCGACCGAGTGCATGAGGTGGAACCCGAGCTGTTCCCCTTTGCTGGAGTGCGTGAGGCCGCTGTATTCGAGGTAGACGCTATGTCGGTGTTTCAACAAATGGCCTTCGGTGGGAGACTTCCGGACAAAGAACTTGAAACCGAGGTAGTGGTACGGCTCGTCTTGACTCGGGGGTTCAAGCGTCTTGAGGATCGCACAGTCCGCGACGTCCTGGTGTTTGAACTTGACGGCGAGGGCGAAGTCGTGCTGACTCTCGGTGACCACGGCACTCATAGCATCCTCGACGCGGCCGTGGTCGAACCCGGTTAATAGCATTGTTGGGGACGCTAAGATCTCGACTGTAGAGGCGAAGAGAGGGAGGTCGAGGCGGCATCGACGCGCGGCATTGAAGACGCTGCCACCGGTAACCCCAACTTTTCGCTCTCGGTACAACTCAATGTCGTCTCGATGCGTCTGTGGTTTCCACCGCCTCGTATCGACGATGCCGCTGTTGTGGTACGAGTGGAAGTCGAACTCCCGGATCGTGTGGGTCAGTAGCTTCTGCATCAACTCTTTGCATGCTTTGTGCTCGAGCTCACTCACTTGGAGCGGCGGGAGGGACTGAATGGGGAACCGATGGCTCATGAATGGAGCTAGAGGGTGGGTGGGGTTGTAAGGGGATGGAGAGGTATCGGAGCGAGCTCGAGGGGAATGTGTGTGGCGACTAGTGCTGTGCTGTCAGGTTGGTCAATTGGTGAGGATGATGGGGATGAGGAGGAGGAGGAGGATGGTCACGGCACAAGGCGATTCGAGAAGTAAGAGCGCAGGCGAGACTGCGATTAGAGGATGGATCAGTCATCGAGGTTGGCACGGGAAGCTGCTTCGGGTTCACTGATCGGTAGGCGGGACACGCTCAATGATGAGTAGAAACGATGGGCGGGGGGAGGAAGGGGCGCGCGTGATTCATCAATCTCGAGACCGAAGAGGGTCTTGAGAAGGTAGGTATCGAGGAGGCATGGGATGGCAGTGTTGACTTCCTCTTGTCTGACCAGCGGATTCAAGTCGTGCCGGATGGTTGAGCGACTTCCTACTATAACTACTACGACTGCTGGATGTAGGCGAGGAGCTACGGGAAAAGCGTGCGTCCGGCTGTAACTTACAGCAGCAATCAAGGCGTCTCTCTCGGTGCTGCTGCAGGTAGCCAGCCGCGTTGACAATAGTAGACAGGCATCGTACAATTGGGACTGACAGAGGTCCAGCAGAGACTGCACGTCGTGTCCGCGTCTCGTCCGACAACGTCGCGACACGATTGTACGGACTCGTGCAGGTCGTCCAGATCGCAGCAGGTCGTACCGACCGACCGATCGTGCTCGATCGACTTCACCCCCACCCTCCTCGTCGTGCTAGAGATCGCGACATGGGTACGTCCGTTCGTCGCTCTCTCTCTTGGCCACGCATCTTTGCACCACAGTGCTCATCTACAAGGCATCCTGTACCCCAGGATGCCCTCCGTCCTACGACGAAGAGACGACAGAGAGAAACTGTTTGCGACAGTGCGTCCAGACTGGTCTGTTCTGGCACAGGCGCGTTCTCAAAGATCGTTGAAGTTCCCGCTTGATCGGTCAGTTCGGACGATTTCTTGCCTACTGCTCGAGCAATGTGTAGGTTCGAAGGTCTTCAGTCTCCTTATTAATTGACGCAAAGCGGGGGTTGCAAACGTGGACGAAATCTCTCTCGTGTCGTTGAATATTTGAGACGCCGTCATCGATTGACGTAAAAAAGAGCCCGATGAGAGTCTGGCGCGAGCTGTTGTAGGAACGTTCGTGCACGACCTCGCTTCGATCTCGTAGACAGACGTGACTATGGAATGAGAGGGAAGTTCGACTGAAGAAGGCGCGGCTGGACAGTGTCGGCTGTCAGGTTGATTGAGACTCTTGGATCTTTGTCTTGCTCCGCCTCGAAAATGATTTTCGGGCTCGCGATACAAACGACGAGATGGAATGGGGTACTGAGTGCAAAGGAAGGATGAGGCTCGAACTTCGCGTGCGCATAAATCAAGGGACGACGCAGTCACGAGGCGGTGAATCAAGCTGGTGATGGACGCGGTTTTATGTCAGGCCCTCGCGACATGAGCAGTCAGTGCCCGATGGTCAATAGAACCACGTGCAACAATCGACGACGCCCTCTCTGCGTCTGGATTCTAGTTGGAAATGTCTTTGAACATGGCAAAGGTCCGCGACGACGTATATGGGTTAGTGACAGTAAAAGTCTTGTGGCTTTTGGAAAGTGACGAGCGATAGCACTTCCGTTGGCGTTGAGTATGATTGATCTTCTAGCACATCGACCTACGAGACAAGTCGTAGGCGTGACCCAATTCACAGCATTGATGCTTGAACATCAAGGCGTGCAGACCACGCAAATAGTCTACAACGTTCGTATCTAGTTAGCGCTCAAGCTAGAGCGCTCTGTAAGAACGTATAGGTCGAGTGATAGCCCAGTGAACGGTTACTCCTCCCAATGTGTACGACAAGCTGCAGTCGTTCATCACGGCCTCAAGCTCGAGTCCTGTATCTCACAGCCTTCCAAGACGAATAAAAATCTGTCGCTGTTGCTCATCTGAATGTGCGCCCGCTCAAACGCTACCGTAAATGTGTTCGTGTCATGTCTGACACGGCAAACAAGCAGTTGTTGCTACGAGCCAGTGGCAACACATATGACAGTGGAATGCCATGCACGCAAGTAGGCCACGTAACGGGGCACTCTTTGTTTGGGGTGCCGCGAAACTTCACGTATACTAGTACGTGCAGAGGAAGCTAATCTACTCAAACAGCTGGTTTGAGTACAGGGTAAATTGAGAACTGTGATTAATTTAGCTAAGCTATCAATATAACTTCAGTCTTTATCTAACTATTCTAATCAACATTGTCGTATGACGACAACCTGCTCACCACTCATTACGCGCATCTAGAAGCGATTGGTGGTAACCTTAGTTGATACGTCTTTGTCAACCATCTTGGAGCAGCGCATGAACATTATCCTACAAGGGAATACTATTCCTTCAAAATCATCCATCTCGGATAATATTGGCAGGGAATTGTCATGCTAGACAATCTCCCTATTGACAACGTTTGGTGTCAATACCATGTAACGGGCTACCCCGTTACATCACCCCCCCAAACCATCAATCACCCGTTGATTGAATAGAATTAATTGGGACAGGGTGACCACCGTTGGATCACTCTGAGAAGGGGCGAACTTGTTGGTCAAATTCCATTTATTTGTCAATCCAACGCATGGTTTCGAAACCCAAGTGAGTTGCTACTCCAGAAGCAAGAAAGGCGACTACACGCATGCGTGCAGCCGAAGAGAGTTCTTCTCTTGCTTTAGCAGCAGGTGATTTGTCGCCTGTTGTTGTGAACAAACTACGTGGTGAGTCACCACGTGCGACAGGTACATCCGCTGCGTCTGCGGCTGCGAAACGCAATGTATATGAGTCCGCGACATAGCCTATCTATCGGGCGATTCGGATGATGCATCCGACTCGAAGACGACACCTCACGCGTCCGGATCATCTGGGGCGGACGCTGCAAGAGCCAGGTTGACTGGCTTTGTGGAACGTGGCGGCATCGTATCCGAGATCTTCGGACCGAGCCATTCTTCTGACGGACCCTCGTCTCACACAGGTCCATCCGACGATAGGACGCGTGGTGATCATGGTGATGCCCCTATACATCACCACGAGCGAAGTAACTCAAGGTATCGAGCTGCTACTGGTGTCAGTGCTCATGCTGACACCAATCAAGAGGCCAGGACCAAAATGTCCTGCGCTACGCTCCTCAAGTGTAGTCTCCATGGATGCCGCCATCCAAAGAGTTAGATCGAGTGGCCGGAATGACCACCGAACGGGATCGAATCCCGTTGTTTGACTGTAGTAGGATCTGTCCTCCTAATTACAGCACGGTAACTATCCGTGCTGAGGAAGATTTCTTCACCGATGTCTTTTTCAAACATCGGTGGTAAATCGGCAACCGTGATCGAGACGGTAAGGCCTTGGTGCAAGGATAAAACGCCTTCATCCATAACATCGAGTACATTGGCCGTGAGGCCTGGCTCGGTAAACTTGATGCATCTCGCATCAGGTTTGAGAAACGCAATCCAGTCGGGACGCAATACAGGTTGCACCGGATTTCAAGAGAGGCAGGATTGCCCTGTCTCTCGTGGGGTGATTCGTGTCCAGGTTGCCTGGACAACTCGAACCGTGCCCCTAGGGAGGCCTACCCTCCTAATGATCCCTACTGGAGGGCGCGCATCTCCTCCGAGATGGCCGAAGGGATCGACACTTTGCAATCCCTGTACTCGCGTTCGGGGAGGTCGTTTTCCGACGGACCTTCTTCAAACACAGCGGGTGAGTCTCGTCATGCTGCTTGACGAGACCAAGGACATCAATAATCAGCTGGGCACGAGGCTCCCAGCTGTCCCACGCCGGCGGATAGCCACGCCAGCGGACGAGGTAACTCGTCCGGACGACATTCACATCCCGGTGGTTCAAAATTCGCTCCATTAGGAAGCGTTGACGACCGCTTGAGTCCACCAAAGTATGTGATGGCGGTGGGAACACCTGATCCGGCTCGAGGGTCGGATCAGCTTGATGTTCAAGAGCTGAACCGTGTAACGGAACAACTGCAAGATGACCTGGCTCATGAACAATCTCGGTGTTATGGGCTTGAGGATCTCGTGAAGAATAATTGTAATTTCCTAACGCACGATCGTTCGGAAGATCGTGCTGCTTTTTTGTTCGCGAAACTTGAGAACGAACGTTCGACTCGTTTTCTTCGTGATGATCTGGCTGCAGCTCTTCGAGACATCGCTGAGCTGCGTGAACAGGTCGCTTCGCTAGTCGACCAGACTGGTTCGTTGAAACGGGACCACTCGAAGGTGGTCTCGGCTCTCGACTGTGGAGGTGTTCTTCGCATCTCGAAACGGGCTCTTGCTGATAGTACGGGCGGAGACGACCGATGTACAACGTAGGATGCGTGCGCATCTTACGGGGCAGTTCAATCGTGTATGCGTTGCCCATTCGGCGCAACACACGAAATGGACCAATGTACTTGGGCATTAATTTACTGCTGCCCACGTTTGTCACCGCATGTTTCGGTAGGTTTACTGTATACAGTAAAACTAGGTCTCCTTCATCAAATGAAAGAACATTTGCTCTTCCATGTTTGTCTGTGTTTCTCTTCTGTCTGTCTCGTGCATCTGCAATAGAAACTTGAACAAAGCGGACAACCGCTTCGCGAGTCAGCAGAAATTCCTCTGCTGATTCATCCTTATCAACAGCAGTGCGCTTCGTGTTCACTGCTGAAAGGATGTTGTCTTCACCAGTGAGGGTGTCATCGTCCTCACTTTGGAGGTCATTGGCGATGCTGAATATGCCAGCGTCGTCATCATCGATATCGATCGCATCGACACCGGCATCCATCATGTCGACATCATTTTCGACGTGTGATGAGCAAGAACCAGACCGGGTTTTAATCGAGTGAGTCCACCCCCTCCCTTAAACTAGAGTCACACTCTAGGAAGGTGGGTAAACGTGGATGGCGTAGGCCATTCACAAAGAACGGTGTATGCGTTGTAGACGCGTGCACCGAGTTGCTGATTACGAATTCCGCCATCGTCAAGAACTCACTCCAGCTCGTAAACGAGTGGACATACCCTCGAAGTATCTCTTCGAGAACGCGGTTGACGCGTTCCGTTTGACCATCTGTTTCGGGATGGTCAGAAGTTGACATCGTCAAACGTGTTCCAAGTGAACGGAACACGGATTTCCTGAACTCCGCTGTATAGCGGGGGTCCCTATCAGACAAGAGTTCACGGGGTCACACGTGAAGTCGGAAGATCGTATCGATGAATACACGAGCACAACCCTGGGCTGTGATTGACTCCTGTACAACAACAAGATGTACCGGCTTGCTGAACCGATCAACAAACACAAGAATGCCAGTATTCTTGTGAGCGTCTTCAGGAAATCCAAAGACGAACTCCATCGATTCGGACTGCCAGCACTTTGCCGGAATCGGTAGAGGCTGCAAGGGTGCACGGGATGAAGGACTAGGCTTCACCTGTTGACAAACTTTGCAAGCGCGAATGTATTTGCGCACAAAATCATACTGGCGGGGCCAGTAGAAGTCACGACTTACCGTGGAGTAAGTCTTTTCTCTACCGCGGTACCCACTTGTTGGGGCATCGTGACACTCATACACGATGCGCAATCGCAAATCATCATGAGCGGAAACGACGACACGAGGTGTGTCGCCGTTGACTGCTGTATAGTACAGCAATATATCACGAACCGAAAAAAAATAACGTTCGGTTAAAGAGCGGTATTGAGACGACAAGCTTTTCAAAGCTTGACTGCATGATTAGACACGTAACCCTTTAATCGCAGAAGGGACTCTTTTTATGCGTTTGCTTTCCGCACGTCGTCGAGCAGATTCGACGACAGGACACTCATTGTGAGTGTCGCTACAGTGGGATCACCCTTACTGTTGTGTTGAGCAATCGGCTCGAAATCGGGCCGACGCGAAAGAGCATCAGCGACGACATTAAGCCGTCCTGATGTACACTCGAAGGAAAAGTTGTACTCCGCGAAAAAAGACAGCCACCTCGCCATTCGTTGCAAGAGGTGTGGACTGTTTACGGCCGTGCGTAACGACACATGGTCGGTATAAACGATGAAGGGCCTATCTTCTAAGCGATATACCCGAAACTTAGCCAGTGCATATTTTATGGCAAGCAATTCATTTTCTTGTACTCAGTATTTACGCTCAGCTGCTTGCAGCTGACGCGATTGATAACAGACAACGCGCTCAACACCGTCTGAGTCGTACTGCATCAACGCGCAGCCGATTGCAAAATCGCTGGCGTCACAGACCGCATTAAATGGTCTGTCCTGGTCTGCAATCGCTAACACAGGAGATTGTATCAAGCTTTTCTTGGTACCTTCTAAGGAGGGCTGACACTCAGCACTCCATGACCACCTCTCGTTTTTTTAGCAGACGAGAGAGATGAACGGTCATCTTGGCGTAGTTGCGCGAGTACTTGTGCAAGCACTCCGCTAAGCCAAGGAACTTTCGAAGTCCCTTGACGTCGACTGGCACAGGCCAGTCGCTAATCGCCTTGATCTTTTCTGGATAAGGGCGTACGCTGTATTTACCCACGATGCAGCCAAGAAGTGGTATTTCGTTCGCTGCGAATATACACTTCTTAACTTGCGCTCACGCATAAGTGTAAGAACCTCCCCGACGTGGGTTCTATGAACATCCACGTCCGTCTTTCCATACAAAGTCCGGATATGGACGCAGACATCGTCAAAGTAACTCGGTGGGAAATCGCGCACCGATCGCAATTTATTTGTAACACATCTGTTGAACGTTGCAGGGACTTTACATAGCCCCTGTGGCATCACTAGCCATTCACAGAGCATACCACTGGGGGGATTACTGTGTGTACGGGATGTCCCGCTTACACATAAGGATCTGATAGAATCCATCCATCAGATCTATGGACGAAAAGATGGTACTCTTTGACATACCATCAGTGATTTCGTCCTTCATCGATGTCGGCGTCTGAGCCGGTACCGTTGCAGCGTTCAATTTGTTGAACGCGTGCACTATTCGCCAACCTCCTGTGGCCTTTCGCACACAGAAGGTCGGAGAGCTGTGTGGAAATGTTAATTATCTCACTTGACCAGCCGCTAAGCGATCGGCAAAGAATTTGTCGACCGCTGTGACCTGTTCACGAGGCAGTGTCCACTGCTTCATGACCAGTACTTCAAACCGGGTTTTAGTTCGATCTCATGCCGAGTACCTTTGTCCTCGGGCAGCTCGCATGGCACGGATTCGGGGAAAACATCCCTGAATTCGACCAAATCCTTATACAAAGAATTTGTCTTCAAAGACTCCCAAGATTGAGACGTGTCACGACCAATCCGGGTCTTCTCATCGAGGACACTCTCGGCCATAGATGAGCTACTAAGAATCTATTCGTTCTCAGCAAACACATGAGCCGACCGAATATCGGCGACGTACTCGTACTCTGTGACGAGTACGCAGATCTGTTTGATCTTGTCACTACGCAGATCTCGCAAGAATCTTTTAGATTCTATCGTTGGCAGCTTGACTACCTCCGAAAATGACTTCGGGGGCGTGACCAGATCAAGTGTATAAGCGCCTACACTTGATCCTTTATTCACCAAGACATTAACTGTCTCGGTGATTTCCTGGGAAAACTCATCTGCAGGTGGTTGGGGATCCACACCCTCAACATAACTCTCTTGGGAGTTATCACTCTTGGAGACGCTGGAACTTTCTTCCAGTACATGTACCGACTGTGGGTGCACTACCACTTCACGTCCTCTTCGATCGACTCTCTTTCAGTCGATCGGGCTTGATCTACGATCGACGCTATGATAGTCGATCTTGCTTCAACGTGTCTTGCTCTATGATCGACTCCATGATAGTCGATCTTGCAACATTCGACAAACGATCGACTTTATGATAGTCGATATTGCTTCAACGTGTTGTTCAGGATGAACAACACTAATCTTGCTTCTCGGATGCACCCTTCGTGGTGTGCATCTGTGTTTAAGTCCACTCGATCTCTTGGAATGGTGAACCTTCGGCGCAGCCTGTGTCTCTACACAGGTGCCGGAAGCTGGTTCCACATTGTAGTGGCCTTCTACACTGTGATCTTGTGCAGTCGTACTAACGACCGTACCACAAGCGAGGCCATCGCACTTAATCGTAATACATCCACACGCTTGTGGACGCTCCAAGACGTTCACTAGATGGCCATTTAGTGAACAAACGGCAGGCATTTTCACGGATCGATGCTGTCAGCTAACCCTTGAATGGTATTTTTGAAGCCATGGCAGACCGAGGATGACATCAAATTTGTCATCCAGATCCAGTACGAACAATTCATCATCGTTTTGCTTTCGTTCTAGCGTGTAGTGGATTCACACTACACGTTTGTTCACTGTTGAGGAGGCGCCTGTTGCGATTCACACCGTCATCCTCGTTGGAAGGAACTTTTGCTTAACAAATTTAAGTCTACAATCTTCTAGCGACTGGCGTCGACTAAATTTGTTCGACGCCCCACAGTCAACTAGTACGCGAAATGACATTCCACTTGTCACCTCGATCTTTAAAGTGATATGAGACACCTCATCACTAGTGGTAGTAGCACACAGCGAATGTGTGTCGGGAGCAATCTTAATCGAGAGTCCTGCAAATTCTCTTGACGTTGCTGGATCAGCAGGGTGCTCCGCCCCTACTGACCCGGACCGTTTTTATGGCGGTCTGACTTGCTGTCGCGGTTTAGCGACATGATCGGACCCACGCCTTGGACCTTTCCTAGGCCAACGGCAGTCATCGCGTCCTGTCTTTGGACATGATGCAGTACTTAGAATACTACACTCATGAGCTTAGTGCCCTATCTTCTGACAGCGATAGCATCTTGCTGTTCACATGTGACTCAGAGAGCGAGAGTTCTCGATCTCGATGTAACAGAGTTTCATTGGTTCGGGACCTCCTGCTCCTGTCGTCTCGATGGACGATAGTTTGACGAATTATCCTGAGACTGTCTCAGGCCAAAGTCTACTTGTTCCGCATACGCAATCACCTTTTCCAGCGTATGGAAGTCCTCTCGGAACATGTAGGTCTTCACAGGTCCATCTACAGGGCCGTAGATGAACACGTTGATTAGCGTGTGCTCATCAACATAATTCTCCGTGAATCTACTCGCAAGGTAGCGTAGGTGTTGTGCGTAAGCATGCACATCACGCTTGCCTTGCTTGAGCCTTTAGGAGTGCAGAGCGTGCTCTGAACTTGGCTCGTGGCGGCTCAAACGTTTCTCTGAGCCGAGACTTCAAGATCTCCAACGACTCAAATACGTTTGGATCGTGAGCTTGAGCCCTAAGGCCCAAGTCTTTGCTCATCCTGTCAAATTTGATAGGGCGAAGGTGACTTGCATCTCGTCACCCTCGATGTGACGGGCTCTGATGGCGTCGTCTAACTCGACGAGCCATCTAAGAAAGGAATCTTCATCGGATCCCTTGTACCTTGACATACGAATTTTCAAGGTTTTGGGTCGACGCATGTGCGTCGGCCCGCCCATCAACTGATGAGAGACTTGCTGCTGTAGCAAGGCTATCTTCTGTCGTTCGAAGGCAAGTTCCCCTTGTAGGAATTTGTTGATCGCACCATGTTGCTGGTCTCTACGTAGAGACTCCAACATGCCACTGATGGCGGGATCGCCCATGAGCACACTCATGCGGCCGACTATCTACCCTTCTGAGTCACTCAGATCGGAGAAGCCTTCACGTGTGACGTGAAAGCTGTCGTTTTCTACGTCCAACATGTTCATGTTAAGCGGACACTAAGTAGTCGTTGGACGGACAACGAAGTGCTACCAGGTGTAACG